AGGCTTTATTACTAAAATCTACAATACTCTGTTAGCTTACAATAAGGAAAAAATTAATTGCCCACTGAGGAGGTGGGCAAAGGACCTGAACAGAAGTTTCACAAGAGCAGAAATCTGAATAGTCAATAGGCATATGAGAAAATGTTCCCGATTATGAGCCATAGGTAAATGAAAATTCAAACAATTATGAGATACCACCTAACACCCTCAAAGATAGCCCAATTCAAAAGATCAGAAAGCAACAAGTGTGGGGTTGTAGTGAGATAAGAACTCTCATCCACTGTTGGTGGACCTGTAGATATGTGCAGCCATTATGAAAATTGATTTGGCGATACTTAAACAAACGGCAATTAAGCTACCGTATGACCCAGCAATCCCCGAACTGGGAATATATCCAGAACAGGTAAGGCACAGACCACGGCCACACATCTGCCCTCCAATGTTCATCGCAGCACAGTTCACAATCACAAAGAGTTGGAAACAATCTAAATTTCCATCAACAGAAGAACGGATGAAAAAACTCTGGTACATGTATCCCTAAAAAGTAGTGATGAATGCATGAAGCATGGAGGAAATTATGCTAAGCGAAATAAGCCAAGCACAAAAGGACAAGTACAACATGAGTCCACTGAGGTAAGCTTAAAAAGCACAAGAGGCATAGGGGAAAAGCCACTAAATGCATAAATTCCCGGGGCAAGGCCCATATACTGTGGACCAATGGTTCCTGAGGGACAGGGGAGAGGGAGAGGTGGGAGAAAGGGAGTGGGAAGCCAACAAACCCAGGGACAAGAGAACAACAAGAGATCTAAAATCAAGGAGGTTATAGAATGCCTGGTGGGGTTTGATCAAGTGCAATGTAACCGAGAGGAATTACTGAGAGCTGAATGAAGGTCGAACATGATAGTAGGACAGGAGGAAAGTAAAAGGAAATAGAGGAAAGAACTAGAAGACAGAAAACATTTATAGAGGTATAACTATAGGCATGTATATATGTAAGTATATTAATATATAATGTTAGAGATACAGGTCTATGTACATATATTTATATGTTAAGTATCAAGGTAACAGTCCTTCCTCAATGCAAGAACACTTTGTTCTAATAACCTGTGATGCTCTAATAATCTGTGATGCTCACCTACCCTACAAGATTGCTAAAGTCAAAATGGGTGCATAAGCAAATGTGGTGAAAAAAGCTGATGGCGCCCAGCTATTAAAAGATATAGCACCTGGGGTCTTAAAGGCTAGAAGATAAACAAGCAGCCATCTAGCTGAGAAGCAACAAAGCCCACATGGAAGAAGCACACCAGCCTGTGTGATCATGAGGTGTTGATGGGATCAGGTATCAGGCATCAGAAGACCCAAAACAATCATATTGATGCTAACAAGGGGGGTTGGAATGGAGACCCCAAAGCCCATCTGTAGATAATTTTCTACCTTACAAATCCAGCTAGACTGGAGCATGTACAATGGTACAGAATCCATGATAGATAAGCCTCTCAGGAACAATAATGGGAGTACCAATACCATGAGGTAGGGTGAAGGTTGGGGAAGAAGGAGAAAGGGGGAACCGATCACAATGATAGATGTATAATCCCCCACCCTCCCTAGGCGGGGGGATGAACAACAGAAACATGGGTGAAGGGAGACAGCAGACAGTGTAAGATATGAAAATAACAATCATTTATAATTTATCAAGGCTTAATAAGAGTGGGAGGGTGGGAGGAGGGAGAAAAGAGGAGCTGATACCAAGGGCTCAAGTAGAAAATGTTTTTAAAACGATGATGGCAACCTATGTACAAATGTGCTCGATACAAGTGATTGTTATAAGAGCTGTAAGAATCCCCAATAAAATGATTTATAAAAAAAATAAAGCAAAACGAAAAAGAAAGTACCATGGACTGCTAAAAGGACAAATGGGTCAGCCTTGGAAGAAATATGGCCAGAGTGCTCCTTAGAGGCATGGATGGCAAGACTTCACCTTACGTAGTTCGTACTTGTTGTCAGGAGAGACCAGTTCCTGGAGAAGGATGTCATGTTCGGTAGAGGGGCAGCAGAGCAGAGGAAGACCCGGGAGGATGTGGACTGATCTCGTGACTGCGTCAATTAATGCAGTCAGAGGAGCGGTTCTGAGGATGGCGCAGGACTGTGCAGTGTTTTTGTTCTGTGGTGCACAGGGTCTCTGTGGGTCGGAACCCACTCAATGACGCCGAACAACAACTACCCTTTGTGGTGTTTGGTTCTAGCCACTCTAGGACACAAAAACCATCACCTTCTGCAGCTCTTCACTCATTTGATTTGCTTCTGCAACCAGGGGCATCAGTTTGACATAGTCGTGGAACACAGCCAGGACACTGGTGTCTGGTTTCCCATCTCTGCCACTGGTGGCTCCTTCAGAAAGAAGTATCAGAATGGAATTTCAGGTGGTCACTTGTTCTACAATACTTTACAACCAAGAACAAATGAATAGGTCTGGTCATTCAGGAAACCATTCAATTGTCCATCACATATCTACCGGGCAGAAAGGTGCACAGTCTTTGCGGGCACCGATATGGGCTCAGCCCAATAGTGGCTCTGCCCTCCAGATGTTCACAAGCCACTCTTACGCCTTCTGGAATCAAAATAACTTCCCTCCCCTCAGCCGTACTCACAAAATGGCCCAAGGAAGTGCTTTGTATCATTTTAATATTGAAAACCTTAAAAACTAGAGATGAGTCAATAATTTAGCATCTACCATGGCACTCAAACCCATGGAGCCTCTAAATCCACAAGACCAGTTACTGTTTCATCAACCGTGACTCATGATGGCCCCAGGTGTGTCAGAGTACAACTGTGTTCCACACGGTTTGCAATCGCTGCTTTTTTGAAGCCGTCACCAGAACCTTCTTCCAAGGCGCCTGCAGGTGTCAACTGCCAGTCTTTTTCGTTACTAGTCTAGCACTTAATCATATGTTCCACTGAGGTACCCTGTGCGAAAGAGGGCGGCGACTAAATACACACTGGATTTAAGTCACTCATGCTAGATTAAGTCAGGCGCAGGAGTATAATGCAGAGAATTATATCTACTTTCAATTTAAAATGTATGCATTTATATAATTTGCATGTAAAAGTTTGGAAGGCTACTCATCAAGATGTCCACAGGGTTTGCCAGTAGGGAGTGGGATGAGAAAAGTCATGGGCAGAACTGGACTATTAAGCAAAAGGTTGAACATTTAACCCATGCAGAGGAGCCTAGAAGTAAGGCTTGAGGACCACGTGTTGAAAGACCTATGGGACAGCTCTACTCTGCACACATGAAGTCAGCATGCACTGAGGTTGACGACATCACCCAACAACGAGGATCGCTGATGTTGTCATATATAACTTTTTTTCCCTATGGCTGAGTAGCATTCCATTGCGTATATATGCCACATTTTGTTTCTCCATTCCTTTGTTGATCGACATTTTGGCTGTTTGCACCTTTTAGTCAGACCTACTCCTCATTTATCAACTATCTAGTCATCTGACATTTCACATTCACAGTAAAAAAAAAAATCTACCGACTACTTTGCAAATTAAAGGCATATGTCTGCCAGTAACGAATGCTGAGGTGGTTGGTGAGCGTTGGCTGTGATGATTAAGGGTCTGCATTCACTTGACTGGACCACCATTCTCAGCATTGGACAATCATGTAATTATGCAATTTTGCAGTTATGTAATAATGTCATCATCCTCCATTTTGTGGTTTGATGTGGACATTCTCCCATAATGCTGATTTTTTAATACAATTTAGTCTTTGCTCTTAACCATGTCCATAAACGAGGAGTGTGTGTATTACGAAAAGCCCTGCAATACAGATTTCAGTTTGCATCTCTGCTTTTACTACTTCTGTGTTTATCAAAGGATTGGCAATGCCAAATCATCTTGTAGTTCTATGATGAACTTTTTGAGGAAACATCAAACTGTGTGCCTTCGTGACTACACTCTTTTGCATTCCCCGCAGCAATGGATGCGGGGTGTAGTGTTTCTACAACCTTGTCAGCACCTGTCATTTTCATTAGTTTTTTTCTTATCATTGCCATTCTATTGGGGGCCGGGGGGGGGGGGAGTCTCTCAATTTGATTTTGATTTGCATTTCCCTAATAACTAATTAACTTGTCCTGGTAGTGCCGTGGTTAAAGAATTCTCCTATAACCAAAGACTGACAAGTTCAAATCTATCAATCACTCACCAGGAGAAAGAACTAGCATTTTGGTCTGTAAAAGTTTACAGACTTGCAAATCCTATGAAGCAGTTCTCCTCTGTCCTGTGAGTCCCTTTGAGTGAGAACAGACTCGATGGCAATGAGTTTGGGGTTGTGAAATGACACATGGCCCTGAGCATTTTGTTTCTGGGCTTGTTGCTGTTTCATACTAATGCATCAATTTCAGCAGAGTGAAATGTCGAAGTCCTTTATCCATTTTTTAAACATCACATTGGCTTTAGCTTCTTTTTAAAATAAAATTGTATTGTGTTAGTCTTGCAGACTCTTTTTCACTCCAAGTCTTTGGTTCTCTTCTTTCCCTGGGACTTGGGCCAAGAACAGACAAGGAGCTGCATTCCCGCTCCCATTGTTAACCTTGGAGCCTTGACCACAGTGGCTCCAGACGGTCCTAGGTGGGAGAGCGGGGAGAGGTCAAACGGATAGGCTACAGTGAAGGTAGGGAGATTTACTTCGAAGGTGCTGCTAATGTAATAAGCAACCTGTTTTTACTTCTCCTATATTTGGGGAAGAATACTAAACATCCAGTGACTGCCAGAAGAATGAGTGAAGTATAGTGAGAATGCTCCTTAGAAGGAAGAATGGGGTTAACTACTTTGGACATGTTATTAAGAGCAACCAGTCCCTGAAAAAAGGACACCAGGCTTTGTAAACTTAAGGGTCAGTAAAAGGAGGAGACCCTCAATTGCTGCAACCGTGAGCTCGAGTAGAACAGTGGTTGTGAGGATGCTGCAGCACCTGGAAGGATTTGGTCCTGTTGTAATCACTTATGAGATGGGGACCATTCAATGGCGCCTAACAGCAACAAGTACTTGAGGTCATTTGGGAGAGTGGGTATGGAGATTACGGTAGAACCTGTCCACCTTCTAGGCTGGCACGGGCTTGTTGAGGCCACAGTCTTCACTGAGTCTGAGCACTTTCCATGCAAGGCCTGGAGCCTGTTCACCTTCATTTCATTCCCATCAGCCCCAGGCAAGGAAGGCAGGTAAGCGATCCATCTTTGTGGATAAATAAATGAGTGGGCAGATGCTCCAGGCTTGCAAATATTAGTGAATTGATGTATAATTTGCTGTGTATATATTAAACAACAAAAATAAATTCTAAAAACAAAGAAAAAGAAACCTAGCTAAGTCCTTCTAGGGCAGGGCGTTGACTCTGTTCATCCCTATTGCTCCAGCCCCTGAAAAGCTCCAAATCAGTGCCACTCACTGTTGGAGCCCCTGGAGGGGTAAAGAGATGAGTGAGGAGCACAGAGCCCGGGCTGTCTTCTCCTGGGAGGAACCTGAAGCTCATGGCACAGAGCTCCCGGGAATGGTGCTTTTCTGACAGAGAACAGTGTGGAGCTGGATCCACGTTTGGGTCATGGGCCTAGCGGAGCTTCTGTATGTGCATGTGGGGAGGGGAGTGGGTTTGACTAATCTAATTCACTTACACGAACCCAATAAATACTTTTTTGAGTTCCCACTATGGTTAAACAGTGTTACCGGACTCTGGGGATACAAAAGTGAACAAATATCATGCCAGATCTCAAAGGCAGGATGTTACTTAATTCATTGCTATTTCCCTAGAGCTTCCACTGCAAGTGGCACATAGTAGGAACTCAGTAAGCATGTGTTTGTATGAGAGAAGAAGGTATGATGAATGCGTGTACAAGAGGGAAAACCATTCTTGTTAAAGCTTATATTCCAATGTGGATAAATAATTATATGGTAAGTTAGTAAGATAATTAAACAGTATGATAAATGCTATGAAGTTAAATGAGAAAAAGTAGCTAGTTGAAACTAAGAGTTCAGAAGAGCTACCTTCCCACAACCATCAAGTCAATTCCAATTCATAGGACTCAATCATGACACTTTAAGACAGAGCAGTCCACAGACTGTAAATCTTTGTGAAGAAGATAGCCTCCTTTTTCTCCCATAGAGCACCTGGGGGGTTTGAATTGCCAACCTGGGTTTAGCAACCCAACATTTAACCCACCGTGTCCCCAGGACTCCTGAGAGCTACCTAAGAACGTACAATTTGAGCTGAGTGCTGAAAAATGAGAATGAGAGAAAAAAGCTAAGAACGGCAGCAGAAAGTGCAAAGGGATTTGTGTATTTCAGGAGCTTAGGAGCCTGGCTGCACAATGGTTGGGTAGGCAGTGAATTGCTAATGGTTGGGTAGGCAATGAATTGCTAATGGCAAGGTTAGTAGTTCAATCCCACCAGTCTCTGCTTGAGAGGAAGAAAAGGCTATGTGCTCCCATGAAGATGTACAGCCTTGGAAACCCTGTGTAAGATCTCTGTGAGTTGGAAGTGGCTCAGTGACAGTGGGTTTGGATGGGTTACAAGAAACTGGTAAGGTTGAAAGTGGGTAAGAAGAGGGCTGTGGGGTGAGGCTGAAGAGAAACCTTGTGGTAGACCAGGTAGACCTTCAGGACCACAGTAAAGAGCTGGGTTTTATTTTAAGAGCAGTGAGATGTCACTGAATATTTTTCAGCAGAAGAGTGTCATTATTGGATTAAAATAGTCTTACAGTTCTTTGGCAGTGTCTTTTCCCCATTAAACATAATTTATTCTGCTATTGTTTAGAACATGTACAGCAAAACCTAATTCAGCTGTTGCTATGTGTACAATTTAGGGACACTGAATTGGCATTCTTAGAGTTGTGAAACCATTCTTACTTTCCACCCCTGAGCTACTCCTTCTTCATTAACATAAATTCACTACCCCTAAGGTTCTTACCTAATCTTTTGAGTTGTTCTTGTCAATATATAAGTATAATGAAATTGAATGAGCCTAATGCTCAAGGCAGACCTTTTTGACCAGTTCAGCTTGGTTTGAGAAGACTTTTCATGGGATATTTTTGGTTTAAGGTTCAAAGATGATCTTGGGCCAAATAGTTTCAGAACTTCATTCACTCGCTATGGTTCTAAAAAGTCAAAAAGTTCACAAATATGAAATCCGTTCTGGATTTTCCCCTTCTTTGGAAAGATGTCACTTTGAAGACTAACGTGCAACTGGCCCACTCTCAAAACTCACTGCCATCGAGTCAATGCTGACCCATTTTCTAATGCTGGGCAATCCTGCATCCCTGCAGTAAATTCCATTTGGTTTTGGGGTGTCTTTTGGATTAAAACCTCTCTTGTGGTGATTGGCAAATGGACTGTGTAGGTAAGAGAGGGAACCATTGAAGCAAAGGAAGATAATGGCTTGCACTGAAATGGTGGCATGGGGGGCAAGGGGTAGAAAAACGCCAGATTAGACGGAGAAGCACGGAAAAGTATGATTCCTAGGCTTTTTACTTGAGCTCTTTGCCAAGGTGGGGAGACAGAGTGCAAAAGCAGGCTTGGCGAGTGGTGGGGGGCGAGAGGAATCAAGAATTCTTTGGGGAGAACTTAAAGTTAAGATTCTTTTGAGATGTAGAAGCAGAGCACTTAATAAGGCAGTTGGATAAACACCTCTGGAGCTCACAAGAACTGAGACTTGTAAGGCTACGATGGTATTTAGAGGCACGGAGACAAGATGAGATCAACTTACAGGAAAAGCATCGAGATAAACAAACACTCTCCCAAGCTCCGGAGCACTCAAAATGCCGATTGGTTTGAGAAGGAAGTCAGAAAAAGAAATGTGGGCGAGATGGATATTGTTCCCAGAGAGAACTATCTCAACAAGGAGAGAGTGCTCAACTGCTCAAAATGTTGCCAAGGCCTTAGTAAGATGAGAACAGACAAGTGCCTGTGAGATTTGGCAGTGTCTAGGCCACTGATAACCTTGTCAATTGCAACATCAGTGATTGGCTGGAATAGCAACCAGACTGGAGGAGGCTAAAAGAGTCTGGCCGAGGAAAGAACGGACATGGCATGTTTATTAGTTTTGTCAGAAAAAAGAATAAAACTAACCACGGCAACAAGGAAAGGGCGGAAGTGGGTCCTAGCAGGGCTTTGTTGATCTAAATGATGGGAGATCCTGAAGCATGTGGGAGATCCTGAAGCATGTTGAATGCAACGTGAAGGATCTACAGGAGCCTCTGGTGATGCAGGAAAACAAGGGAGGGGGCTCCTCAAGAAGGTGAGGGTCGATTCCAGAGGACAAGCAGAGGGTTGGCCTTTGTTAGAAAGGGAGATGTTTCTTCTTGTAACAGAAGAGAAAGATTTAAGCAGACAAAATAAGCCCATTTATAGAAGAAGAAAAATGGGAGATACATATTACATGAAAAGTTTCCTCTCCTAGCAAAGACTAGCTTGTTAATGAATTAGGATGGGAAATACCAGTATGAATTCATGGTTTTATCGAAACAGACAAAGCAATAAATATATATGTGGAAGATCTATACAGATGAGGGGGTTAAAATTATGGGAAAATGGAATGAAAAGACTGGAATTTTCCCACAAACTTTTTGAAGCCACTGCATATAAATGAGCACACCTAGCACTGGATCTTGATTGATAAATACTGTTTCCACTAAAAAGAACAAGGGATCCTTAGAGGCCCGACAGATCCTGGAGCTTGCACCGAGTCCCTATGCATCTGGCACTTCCTTACGCCTGAAAGGAAGGACGCGTCAAAAAGAAGCCCCCTGGCCAAATCTAGGACAACTTGAGGATTTTAAAAAATCCTGAAAGCAACAGCATGTAACCTAGCAAGAAAACAGAATTCATGAATCTGTACTGATTCAAATAAAGGGAGCACAATTCTTGCAGTACAATATCTACAGACACATGTAGAAGGAATGATGGAGCCAGAAATAAATCATTTGAAAAAAATCACAATTAATGTATGTTGGCAAGAATATTCAAAGTGTAATAAAACTAGTGGATGAAAGTTTGATTAGGTATTGGAAATCTACCAATCTCATCCCATAAAATATCCATTAATTAAGGAGAGTTAGTAAGTAAACCTATCAGATAGAATCTTAATCAAGGGGAATTAGCACCATCAATTATTCTGTGAAGCAAGACACTGAGGGGGCACAGCATCCCGTCTGTGGCGTTCTTGCCCAAAATGCATAACTTCACAAACTCAAATTAAGGAACATTATACAAAACAACTAATACTGTGGTTTTCTCAAATGTCAAGGTCATGGAAGCCCAAGACAGACTTGATAAATTGCTCCAGGTTTAAGGAGACCAAAGAGGTAAGACAAAACTTAGTGCTATGTGAATTTGAGCCCTAGACAAAGATTTCTAAGACTATCAGTGAAACAAGTAATTATATATGAACAAATTTTATAGGTTAAATAGTAGTATTGTATCCATATCTAGTGTTGCTCATTTTACTATGGCTATATAAAAGAATATGTGTTTTCCTTAGGAACTAAAGTATTGAGTGTAGCTAAATATCTGTAACTTACTTTCAAATAGTTGAGAAAACACATGTATACATTTTACTGTATTTTCTCTATTTCATATATACATATATAAATGTTTACACATAGATTAAAAATTGGAAATCTGAGTGAAGCGACACAGTCGTGAAAGGTTCAGAATATTGTTTCAAAATTAAGAATGACTCATGAAATATCTCTGCACCATGACAACCGGCTCCAGAGGGAGGCAACAGGAGGACCATCCTTCAGTCCATGGGCAGCTGTAAAGCTTCTCTAATTCCTGTGGGGAGCACACCAGTGTGAATTTACAACTTACTATGGTGGAGGGGATAAACAAGTTGCCATCGAGTTGACTCTGGCTCCGGAGAACCTCATGTGGGTCAGGCAGAACCATGCTCCTGGGGTTTTCGATGACTGGCTTTTCAAGGGGCCTTTATTCCAGGGCATCCATGCGAGCACTCTCACCTTCCACCCTGACAGGCAGTCATGTGAACTGTCCACCAAGGACTCCGCTTACTATTGATTCGGGTCCAAAGGGAGGCATTCGATGTTAATTTGTATAAGATTGGCAACTTACAAATGCTTTTTTCGGATGAGAAAGAAACCACTAATGAGTTAGCTTTCACTCAGCACTCTACCTTCCACGTGCACCTTTGTGGAACTCATATTGAACTTTCAGGAAAAAATGTCTCCAGACGCTTTTCTTAAGGGAAGCAGAAGCCCGTGTTCTCCGATCGGCATGTGGGCAGTGCCAGCGTAACGTCAGGGCCCCGGCCACTCACCGAGCGTGTCCACACTCACGCCCTCTGCGGCTGCCCGCTCCAGCTGGAAAAAGTCATAGTCGAACCTGCCCGCGTCCCCGTCCTCACTGCCTCGCTCAGCAGGAAACCCGATGTAGAGGTAGGCGCTGTTGGATCCCAGGATGATGCGATCCTAGGATGGGAGGGGAAAAGAAGAACCGAGAGTTGGGCTGCGAACTGCAAAGTCAACAGTTCACAACCAGCAGCCACACCGAGGGTGACTGTAAAGTTACCATTTGAGAAACACACAGGGGCAGTTTTACCCTGTCTTAAATGGTTGGTTGCTAGGAGTGCGGACTGACTGGCTCATAGTGATTTTTTGGGGGGTGGGGTGGGAGGGAAGTGGGTGGGTAAAGGTGGGAGTGGGTATTGATCATTCCGCAATAGAGTTCTCGGCTGCCATGTGGGAAGCCTGGTCTCATTCCTGACCATGCACCTCCTGCACAGCGGTGCCCAGCTGTGGAGGCTTGTGTGTTGCTATGATGCTAAACATGGTGCACCAAAACTTCCAGACTGAGATGGACCAGAAAGAAAGGCCTGGCAATTTCATGACAAAAATCACCCGCTGAAAACCCTATTGATCAGGCACAGAGAAGATTGTAGGGTCCACCACGAGACACGATGCCCCCTCACTGACCCACAGCACTGCAGGGGACAATGCTGGAGACACAGTGTGGGAATTGCTCCCGGTCTGACCCCACACAGCAGGACAGAACACAAAGGGAGCGCCACAGAGCAGCAAGGGGTTCAAAGCAACGAAGTCCCCGAGGAATCCCGAAAACAGACTTCGAACTCAGAGAGCAGGGCTTGGCACCTCATCAGACCCGATCAGAAAACATATATAAGGGTCAGCAGACAGACCTAGAACTATTTATAGGCCCTTTTCTTCTTCTTCCTTCTC